TCCCTTATACTTTAAAGTATCTCTAGATTACTTAGAATACTTAATACAATGTAAATGCTAGTACATAGTTGTTATATTCTATTTTACATTTTGTATTACTTGTTGTTTTTCTTCGGAATATTTTCCACTTGGGGTTGGTCAAATCCCCAGATGCACAACCCACAGATACAAGGGGCCAACTGTATGTGAATGAAGGGGTAACTTCTATGCTAAAACACCTTTTTTGTTTCTGTTTTTTTGTTTGTTTGTTTGTTTTTATTTTTGTTTTTTGAGACAGAGTCTCACTCTATCGCCAGGCACCAGGCTGGAGTGCAGTGGCACAATCGGCTCACTGCACCTCTGCCTCCCAGGTTCAAGCAATTCTCCTGCCTCAGCCTCCTGAGTAGCTGGGACTATAGGTGCACAGCACCACGCCCAGCTAATTTTTGTATTTTTAGTAGAGATGGGGTTTTACCATGTTGGCCAGGATGGTCTTGATCTCTTGACCTTGTAATCCGCCCACCTCAGCTGCCCAAAGTGCTGGGATTACAGGCTTGAGCCACTGGACAGGGTTTGTTTTTTGTTTTTTTTTTTTCGTTGAGATGGAGTCTCACTCTTGTTGCCCAGGCCAGAGTGAAGTGGCATGATTTTGGCTCACCACAACCTCTGCCTCCCACAATTCTCCTGCCTCAGCCTCCCGAGTAGCTGGGATTACAGGCATGTGCCACCACGCCTGGCTAAGTTTGCATTTTAGTAGATATGGGGTTTCTCCATGTTGGTCAGATTGGTCTCAAACTCCCGACCTCAGTTGATCTGCTCATCTTGGTCTCCCAAAGTCCTAGGATTACCGGATTGAGCCACTGCGCCTGGCCCTCAAAACCTTTTTTAGGGAAAAATAATTTTTTTTTTTTCCTCTGAGGAAATAAAATCTTCACTGGTACTCTTTTTTTTTTTAAGATGGGATTTCACCCTGATGGCCAGGCTGGTCTTGAACTCCTGACCTCAGGTGATCCACCCACCTTGGCCTCCCAAAGTGCTAGGATTACAGGCGTGAGCCACTGCACCCGGCCTACTGGTACTCTTTTTGTTGTTGTTATTATATTTAGGACAATTATATAACTTATGACTAAAACCAGGACACTTTTGAGGGTATGAAGTAGGTGCTTCAATAATTATACCTGGAGGCTGGGCACAGTGGCTTATGCTTATAATCCCAGCACTTTAGGAGGCCAAGGCCGGCAGATGAACTGAGGTCAGCAGTTTGAGACCAGTCTGGCTAACATGGTGAAACCCCATCTCTACTAAAAATACAAAAATTAGCTGGATGTGATGGCGTGCACCTATAATCCCAGCTAGTCGGGAAGCTGAGGCAGGAGAATCGCTTGAACCCGGGAGGTGGAGGTTGCAGTGAGCTGAGATCGTGCCAGAGCACTCCAGCCTGGGTAACAAGAGCGAAACTCCGTCTCAAAAAAAAAAATTATATCTGAAAACAGAAACCAGAATAATTCCAGGCTAACTGGGATGTATGACCACTTGCTTGGAGCACAAGGTTGGTGGTTGATAAATATTATAATCACCTTGTATACTCCCTGTTCCCCGCTCCATGTGAAGTAAGAGTTAATCACATTGTGTAACATTTAATCCTTGACCTTGATCATCTAATTAGATCATCATCTAATTTTTTTGAGACAGTGTCTTACTCTGTCACTCAGGCATGGTGCCATCATGGCTCGTTGGTATCTCTTGCTTCTTGGGCTCATGTGATCCTCCCGTCTCAGTCACTCAAGTAGCTGGGATTATAGCCATGAGCCACCACATCTGTGTGATAATCTGATTTTTTTTTTTGAGACGGAGTCTCACTCTGTTGCTTAGACTGGAGTGCAATAACGCAACCACCTGGCCTTTAAAAAAGGAATATTCATATAGACATACTGTATTAGATGTGTATTGTTTGGGATATGCTAACATACCCAGTGGATCTCTGGCTAGAGGGAATGAAGAATGTTTTTTCCCTCATGGTACTTGAGTGTTAGTATGTTTATAGGTAAGGGAAGTGAGTACAGCAAGCTAATCAATTGCCCTAAATCACACGCCAGAGCTGAGATCAAAGCTCAAAATAAAAACTCTAAAAAATAAACTCACGACCCAACACTGATTTAAAAAGTAAAAAATAAAAATACAAACTCTGCCCTATGAATCCCCAGCAGTTGTGTTACTTGCTGAGCCATGAAGGGCTGCCTTTTAGAATCTGATCTCAGATGCATGGGAGGTGGAGATTTATTACCACCTTTCAGACAAGAAATCTTATGTTTGGAAGCTGCTTTTCCTAGTTCGCACAAGTCCTCTTCAACCCACTTCTATAAAAAGCCCAAGTAAGAAAGAGTCCTAATCATTAGTCATGCAGTTTGGTCTTTTTGTAGATTTGAGCATTCAAGAAGGGATGCAGGTGATTCATTAAGCTTAGTACTCAGGGTTTTTGTGTGTTGCAGTAACTAAGCAACAGTTAAGATATTTTAACTTAGCATGTCCTGCATTGGCACGTTTAAAAAAAGAACCGTCACGCCATGCTTGGCAGAACCTCCCTCTGACTCTTCCACACTCTGTGCAGTTCCTGTACATCTTGGCTGCCCATGCACTGCTAACAGAGACCTCTTCTGTCTCAGCTGCTGACAGCCTTGGCCTAGTGTGTACCACTGCAGAGTAGCTGGATACCCATGTCCCCAATGACTGGTAACTGCGAAGGCTGGACCTGGAACTAGTGGTTTCATCATCCACTACGTTTTCTTAATAATTCTCACATTCACATTTTAAACCCACACTTAACTGTTACACCTTTGAACATTCATCTTTATCAAAACACAACTCAAGTTCTAGGTTAGCAATTTAAGAACTGTGATTATTCACAAAACAATGCATTTCAAACATAACCATTAGCTTTTTTGTTTTCCTGAATGTTCAGTGAACTCACTAAATATGTGAGAGGCCTGCTACATAACATTTGATATTAGATAGATTTGACTTTCCAGGTATGGTTTTGGAAGAATTGCAGTTCTAGATGCATGAACCTAGTGTTTAAACTCTAAGCCTTGGTGTCAGAAGAGCTGGTTCCATTATTTATGTGGTATGACTCTGGGAATTTAACCTTTTTAGACAGGATCTTGCTGTTGTCTAGGCTCGAGTGCCGCACTGTGGCCTCTAACTCCAGGGCTCCTGCCACCTTGGCCTCCTGAGTAGCTGGGACTAGAGGCACACACCACCGCACCTGGCTAATTCTTAAATTTGGATTTGTGATGAGGTCTTGCTATGTTGCCCAGGCTAGTCTCCAAGTCCTGGCTTCCAATGATCCTCCTGCCCTGGCCTCAGTGTTAGGATTACACAAGCATGAGGCACTGCACATCTCTTTACAACTTGGTTTCCTTATCTCTAAAGAGACTTTTAAATCTACGTATCTTTAAGGAAAGCTAGACTAAGTGACCATTAAATAAAACAACCTCTGACATAAAACATAATCAGAGAAAACTTTAAAAATGTTCTATTTCTTCTTTTCTTATGTAAAACTAAGTATGGCTTAGAATCCCAGATGACCTGACTCTATTATAATTGGGAACCTTTGACTGTGATCTAAACAAACCTCAAGTAGGAAACATGGTCATCTATAATGGCAGTTTTTTAAAATTTAAAAGCAGCAAATCTCTACCCTTTCTGAAACAACTTACCAGTAAGAAAAACACATAAAGTGCCAAGTGGAAGTGCTTTAGTGAAAGCAGGGAGAGACTAAGCTCTATAAGATCTATTCACTTGATCCTCTCCTCAGCACTGGGAAAATCAAATGAGAGAAAAATTTGTCACAGGAGAGCCGGGCGTGGTGGCTCAAGCCTCTAATCCCAGCACTTTGGGAGGCTGAGGCGGGCGGATCACGTGAGGTCAGGAATTTGAGACCAGCCTGGCCTACATGACAAACCCCCATCTCTAGTAAAAATACAAAAATTAGCTAGGACTGGTGGTGTGCACCTGTAATTCCAGCTATTTGAGAGGCTGAGGCAGGAGAATCACTTGAACTGAACTGAAGTTTGCAGTGAGGTGAGACTGCACCACTGCCCTCCAGTGAGACTGTCTCGAAAACAAATAAAAGCCACAGGAATAAGCTCTATGAGATGACCCAAATCCTCTTCTGGCATTAGAATTCTATTGTATGCCTCATTTAAAATAAGTGAGCTAATATCCAGAATTCTATTTTGCTTTTGAGATGGGTTGCAAAAGGTTTGGTGCTAAGAGTATTAATATGGTAATTTTAAAAAAGCACTTGCTTGGGTCAGGTAATGCAGGATAGCATGTTTGTCAGAGCAATGTCATCTCCCACAGGAAAAACAGAAAAATAGAAACTGGCGGCCCTGCTCCAGAATGGTCTTATTGCACCGTCCATTTCATAGCTCTACTTTAGGTGGATAGTCATGGGATATTGAGTAACATATCAAAAACAATTTAGAATTTTACAACTGCATTTTGTTCAATTATAAGGCAAAATGAAGAAATTCCTTCCAAAAATAGAAGCACTGCAAAGCATTCATTCATTCATTGCCCTATTCCAACTGGAGTTCCAAGGAATGCCAGCAAAACCTGCTGTGGGAAAATGGTAAACTCCACCAAGTTTAATGTGACCTTCACTAAATGTAGCAGTTAATGACAAAAGTAGAACTATCTTTGATAACAGAAAGTGGGGGAGTGGGGACAGAGAAAGTTCCCTGACTTCATATTATTGTATATGCAGATAATCTGGTTACAAAGAGTAGCTTAGCCTTGAAAGAAGATCACCACAGTGGACGCCATGTTGCTGAAAGAGGGTGTGTGGAGGAATGGTCGTTTCCAGACATCCTTAGTGAATGTAGGTCACATGCAAAGAGGTATCTCAGGCCCTTTCTTTTTTCCTCCTTTATGACAACAAATTTGTGTTCATTAGGCTCTGGACTTGCTCAGAGCAGCTCAGAATTAGGCCTAAAGAATAAACATGAAAAAATCTGTGAAACCATGAAAATACATTTTTTAAAAAAGTTTTCAGGTATAATACACAAAAGCAAACAAGTTTATCTTAAAAAATATCAAGTATCACATCCATAGCCTATTCCTAATTATAATTACTTTTTAAAGCAACATTTATCTTTGTTTACAAATACAGCAGCAGGTGATAAAACCTAGTACTCAAACTGATTGCTTACAATTTATAATACAAACAAATGTATATGTCTCAAATCACATTTTAGGCAGTTTAACTTAAAATGTATAGACAATTACAAACATTAAATTTGTCATTACTGTCAATGAAAAATCACAATTTCAAGAAAATTACAAAGAACTTTCATAGAGCACACAGTCAAGTTTACTTCATGGCAACAAATCAGTATCTGTTCATCAGTGACAGGCAGTGAAAGTGCCTTTATCCAGGGGTAAAGTGAAGAGGCCAACAAACTATCCTGCTACTTTGCACACTTGAATTGTGCTCAACACCACAATCTTGAAAAACATTAATTATTCTTAGTTTTTAGAAAAGGTATGCCACATGTTGCCCTTTAAAATGCCCAAAGGCTGGTTATAATTTCCACCAGCAGCAACCCTAACACGTTTATCTAGGTAAACTAATAATGAATGGTGTGCTAACCAATTCCATAATGTTACTTCTAGATTATGAGCCTCTCAAGGACAGGGATTCCCTCATAGCTGGCGAAGAACCTGGATCAATGACAATAGCATCTACTGAATCAATGACTCAGATGTTTTCGATAGCTACAAGCTTGCCTGGGATTTACAAAATACTGATTTTTATTGGCAATTTTTGTTTTACATGGCAGAATTCTGAAGTGTCTGTCTTCAATACTAAATATTGCTTTATTAAAATCGAAAAAGTCTTCCCTGAAAGCCACATACAACTTTCTATGCATAGTACAATAGATCAGTGTGATTTATCTGAATTTAGGCTTATGGTTTTCAAAAACTTGAAAGTCTGTGCTTAATTTCCAGGCTTTCTAACCCTGGCATTTGATAAAGCTAGCTTCTGTCATTCAGGGTGAGAGAATTGAGACATTGGCACTTACTGTTTAATAGTGTAGGCAACTGATATTTAAAGTAGGCAGTCTTAACAAAAACTCTGAGTAGAGCTATTTTCATCTACACAGTTTCAAAAGCTGTACATCTGAGTGCCATAGGTAGCACTAATAATTTGTGAGGTAATATATCAAGGGCAAATTGGTTTTCTAGAAAATATTCCAATAGTCCATTGTTGTGGTGACTGACTGAGGCAAAATATATCCTTTTCTTCTCTGCCCTATTATTCTTCTCTACTGAAGACAACCAACAGTAGACAAGGAAGTCAGTCCTTGAGTAATTAAAAAATGTATTGTCTATTCCTGAATAATCAATATATTACTTTATACAAAATAGGGCTGAGTCAGAGCTGTAAATGGTGTCTTCAAAAGCATGAAAAGATGAAGTGGTGGCAGGCTGGGACAGACAAGCCAAGGTATCTGAAGCACTCCACTTGATTCTTGAGAACCATGTGTGAATGAGGACCTAAGGTCTATGTTTTAACTTTTGTCTTTTTGGTTTCAACATTTCAAAACTTAATAGAGGACCTAAGGTCTATGTTTTAACTTTTGTCTTTTTGGTTTCAACATTTCAAAACTTAATATTCCAACTCCAGAAACAGTATTTCTGAACACATCTCAACTATTTCTGTTAGATGTATGTGAAAGTTGTTCCTCTGAAGCCCAAATGTCAGCATAGTCTACAATCTGTATCTCCACTAAGACCAAACATACTTGCTAACAAGCAGTCTTTTCCATAAACCAATTTCAGCCTATCATGTCTTGTATTGAAAGCAACATTATTCCCTTTTAAAAAGGAAAAAAGCCTTACTCTGGGCTGTTCCCCATTCCTCCACTGAAACTCCTGCCTTTCTTAACTCCACACTGAACCAAACTAAAATACTTTTTTGGCCCAGAATGCCAACAAGAATTGAAGAAAAGATGCTTTACAAAAATAACAAGAACATAAAAGCAAATTCTATTATCCCTTTTATCTCCATTCTTATATTAAAAAAAAAAAATCCCCAAAATACCAGTCGTAAAGTCCTTGAAAACAAAGGGACTACAATGGCAGTATCATTTAGGGCACATGGGCAGTATGGGTCACTAGCAAATTAATGCTTACTGGGAGTGGTAATCCCAAATCATATTCATAGCCCTTCATATCCTTTAGCAACAGATTTTTCACCCCAGATCAATAGAACCCTAAACCTGCTATCTCTTCTTCCTAGTCAAATTCTATCTGCTGTAGTGTTAAACTAAATACTGCTAAGCTGTCAGCTTATCCCAATGTAGGACAGCCAAAGTAACTATAAGGAGAGGTATCATTGCAGCCATCTCACTTTTCAGATCATTTTATCCCTCCATGGTTAATTGACATTTTGATATTGACGACAATTCAAGCTGTGACTCCTAAGGCTACCTGCCTTGTCGACTGGGGGTTACTTTGAAAAGAGTCCAATAGTATTGTAGATAGCTACACCTGTCCTTACAGAGAAGTAAAAGAAAGAATGATGACGTTTGTCACTACGGTAAGAGCCGTCTAACAACTTTCCCCAGTCTGAAAATATGTTAACAAATTAGTTTCTCATTTCTGAATGCTTGAATCTATCATCTCGTTAACACAATGGAGGCTTAAATACTGAATGTTCCTCTCAAAGGTAACCATTCTGCTTTCTTAAAAGGAGGTAGCTATCAAACCAAAAAACTGGCAGCATTTGGCATTCTTGACATTTTAATTAGAGCAGAAATAAACTAAATATTTTATTTCTAAGCAAAAACAGAGCTCCAGCATAAATCCTGTTTGTCTGAGAAAATTCACAATACATTTTAGAAATCCAATGGATACATTCAAAATGTTATCTAATAAATAACAAGGTCAGGTCTACCCCAAATCTAAGAATCTGATTTAAACATAAGGTGCCAAAAAACTACTAGGGCTGTTTTTTGGTGGTTATAAACAATACTTAATATTTAAGCAATACAGTTACACTGCTTTAAACTCAGTTGCAGAGATCTACTATTTATTATTATTTTCAGTGTTAGAGCTAGAGGGTAATTTTTTCAAAGATGGCACTCAACTCCACTTATTTACCTGTCAACAAATACAGAACTGAACTGTTAGCCATAAGCACTTTACAAAAACTCAGGAAACTATGCAGGAGACAATGACATAGCTTAACTAGACTCTGAAAGATACATTATTTTGATTCACACTTGTACAAAGAGAACAGTCATATCTGCATGACTTAAGGTTCTCTAAACACAACTGTTTTATGTTTTACACCTCTACAGTGTGCCAGTTTACCGCATCAGGGAGGAATCAAGGGATGTGCTCCTTCTAAAGAACAAACAGCAAGTGGGGTGGGGGTGGCTGCAGGGAATGCCCTGGGCACAAGAGCTGCCTCAGTTTTTTGTGGGCAAGAAAACTACTTGTTGCAATTAAGCAATTCCTAGGGTTTATCTAGTTTGAGGTTCAAAACAAAGGAGAGAATTATTTCCTTCCTTGAGCTCTTTCCAAAGCAATATGCACATCTCATAATCAAATCTCAAGTAGTACAAAGAGATTATCAATTATCTAAAAATTTAATTTACATAAATGTTGGCCTGGATTACAAAGAAAAAAGTTAGTTTCCATAAAGAGCAGATTTTAGTGCTGTATGGCCCATATGACTAAAAACGACCGAGGAAGTTTTTACTAAAAGCTCAAGGATAAAAATGAACACTGGCTGTCTATTGAACTTTACATCTGACAATAATTACTGACAGTTTAAAAATGTATATCCAAAATATAACCTCAAGAGGACCAGGTTTATTTATCCAACAGAGCAGCTCAAAATGTTGAGAGGCATCATTTGTTTAGATATGAGGGGGTTATTCTCAAAGTGTATTTATTTGGAGGGGAAAGTGATTATAGAAAAATACTTGAAATAAATTGCCAATGAGTTGCAGATTCTAACAATAATCCACACATCATCTTAGATTTTTAAGTGTGTAGTTTCATAGTTTAAACAAATTCTGTCAAAGAGCTATTCAATATACTTAATCACTTTAACTTTCCATGAAAACCAAATAAAAATCACATCCGAATGATTTACTTCTATGCTTTTATCTGATTGTATACATATGATGTACTACACATCCAAGTACAAGAGGCAGTTATCTTCTCTGAGAGGTGCAAGAGTTGTTCTTTCATGAATGCCCTCTAATAGTGAAACCAGCAATTTTTATATATGCATTCATGTGCATATAGATGTACTTCAAAAAGCAAAGCGTCATCTCTTCGTCCATTGTTAACTTAATGGTAAGACTGCAATAGAAGAAAGAAAAAGTCAACTTCTAGATTTTGCAAATGGAGTTTAACTCCTTACCATGGCTTAAATTTATTGCTTAATAAATCCAAAAAGTGAGTTACGTCATTTACTATGGCATACACTTAACGCAAAACCAAATATTTTTAGAGAATATATATATAGCAAGAAATTACACTAATGCAAGGAGGAAGTTTTGGGGGCACTTTATGGATTTTTTTTTTTCCTTTGTAGCTTAAGTGGATGTCTGACTAATCTAACTGAAGATCTGACTAGTTATTTGTGTATTAAGAGTTAACAGATTTTTATTTCCTGGCCAGGCACGGATGCTCAGGCCTGTAATCCTAGCACTTTGGGAGGCTGAGCCAGGTGGATCACTTGAGTCAGGAGTTCAAGACCAGCCTGGCCAACATGGTGAAACCCTGTCTCTACTAAAAATACAAAAATTAGCTGGGCATGGTAGTGGATGCCTGTAATCCCAGCTACTAAGGAGGCTGCGGTAAGAGAACAGCTTGAACCCAGGAGGCGGAGGTTGCAGTGAGCCGAGATCGTGCCACCGCATTTCTACCTGGGTGACACAGCAAGACTCTGTCTCAAAAAAAAAACAAAAGTTAACACATTTTTTTCCTAAGGAAAATTCTTTACTCTGCATTTGGATACTCACTTTGGCTTACCGCACAGGAGTACTTTCCTACTCAGTTATATGACCCAAACAGGCTCCTCAACTAAGATGTTAACCCCACCCTGGCACAGTAAAGCATCAAGCATCATATGTAAACTGACAATAAAGAATAGGGGTATAATCTTGAGTTCGAGAATTGCTTGAAGGACAAGCGTTACCTACTTATTGCCTTGGATTCTCTAAAACTCTACCTCTATCAGGCCCGACAGGTAGAGACTGCTTATATTAAGCTGTTTTTTGGTACGATGCTACAAAACAATACTGAGAAATAATAATAAAACAAAACATCCCAATGAAATGAACCTCAGATTTTACGTAAAGGATGCTACTGAGGACATTGCTTACTACATTACAAAGTCTCTGGGGATCTTTGGAAAATTTTTCTTTTTAGCACAAGGAATACTTAAAATAGTGCTTTCATTTTTAAATGCTTCACCTGAAGGTTTGAAATTTACTCATTTAATATACACCCACCCTCTTTTAAAACCTTGAAAGCTTTCTTAATCTTCCATCCAAAACCGGGGAGAAACAATCTTTCAGTTGTGCTTTTGACAATCAGTACATTTTAAATAACAATTGAACACTCACATGGGGGCCACCAGGCATCGGTGGAGCACCAGAAGGTCCCGAAGGCACTTGGAAAGGATTACTGGGAGTAGGATAGAGTCCTGGTGTAGGATACGATCCTGTAGGGGCAGGATATGGTGCTGGTGGTCCCCAGGCTCCTGGTGGAACAGTGCCCCATGGAACAGGTGGTGCTGCCCCAGGGGCTTGGGGAGGAGGAGGAGCGGGATATGGCCCTGGAGATGGATATGGCATATTAGGGGTAGGATACTGCCCTCCCATTCCTGGTGCCCAAGGTCCAGAAGACATGGATCCCCATGGACCTAAAGGACCAGCTGCAGCTGGATCTGTGGGTGCACCATATGGTCTAGGTAGCTCCGGAAAGGGCATATTTGGTGTAGGATATGGCCCTGTGGGGCCAGGGCCTGGCACAGTTGGGGCTGGATAAGGACCACCAGGTGGGGGGCATGATGGTCCGGAAGGAGGAAAGGGTGCTGGGGGTCCTGGAGGTGGTCCGGTGGGAGGCACGGAGGGATACATTCCTGTTGGTGCTGGTCCAAAAGGCACAGTAGAGGGTGTTGCACTTGCTGGAAGTCCAGATGGCACCGAAGGTGGAGCACTCGGATTATTCCAAGGGTTGGAACCTGGCCAGCCTTGAGGAGGTTGGCCAGGTTTTGTATTGCTCACAGCAGAGGTTTTGGCAGGGGAGTGTTCAGGTAGTGCATCTGCCAACTGGAATACAAAACAGATACATCTTATCTATCTTGTCTAGGGAAAAGTCATACCAAACACTATTATAAACCCACAGAAAATAAACAGTAAGCTATAGGGCGAGGGATTATAAACTCCAAGAACATCTTCAAAAGCTAAGTTGTTCATATAAAAAATACTCTATTTAACAAAACTTGAGGTGTTACTTTGAATCTCAACTTTACAACACAAATTCTTCAAAGAAGCTCAAGTTTTCTAAATATAACTATCATATGCTTCATTTCTCTGCTGTATCAATATAAAAAAGTATAGTAATTAAGAGGCTAGAACAGTGAAGATATGGATTTGAAAACTGGCTTTACCTCAAAGGAGTTACATACTCTGAGATAGAGCTTCTTTTCAAAAACTGTTTTAGGGTTAACTTGAGGCTTAAATATGGAAATTCATGTAGTACACTTAACAGAGTGTCTGGTATATAATTTCCAATAAATGTTGGCTTTGATTAAGACTATCAGGGTAAAAGAGAACAACAGAAGTAACATCTTAAATTTTCATTTAAGGATTCATAAAGATATATAGGAAGTATTTCCAAACATATTATCTAAGTAAACTAAGGCAAATCCCCTATCAAAATTCCTCCCCCACCCCCAAAGCTAAGAATCACAAAAAGCATCTTATTTACTTATAGACAGGGTTTCACTCTGTAGCCCAGGCAGGAGTGCAATGGCATGATCATGGCTCACTATAGCCTGGAATTCTTGGGGTCAAGGGATCCTCCCAAGTAGCTAGGGCTACAGGCGCACGCCATCACATCCAGCTAAAAGAATCTCTTTTAAGTGAAAAGATTTATGTAGCCCACAATTAGGGCCATGTTGTTTTTCTTAAGAAATGAAAAACTTATCACGGATAAACTCATCAACTTACCGAAAATTCATCAGACATTTTCCTAAAAAAAAGAAAGAAATGAAGGAAGAAAGAAAAATTTCAAAATCAGTGTTCACCATTTCTTAAATATTCCGTAAGGAACTTTCTATGCATACATTATTATTACTTAAATGGAATCTTTTTTGTAAAGTGTTTTTCTTTACATAGGTAAGTTTTCCACAAGAGTTCATACAGTACTATCAACTTCGTCCCTTTTCATGGCTACACATCATACACACATGATTTGTAATTTCATTTACATTATTTTTGTAGCAGTATAGATTGTTTTAAATATAATCCAGTGAACATCTCTGAATACTTATCTTTGTTCATGTGTGAGAATCTATCACCAGGAAGAAACACTGGACATGCAATCTACAGAGTCAACAGATAAATTTATCGAAAATCCATTTGAAAAGTCCATGTCAATTTACAGTCACTCATTTCTCTAACTCCTCTTTTACCACTGGATATTAAATTTATTAATTGTTTATAATGACAATACTAAAAATTAGCGTCTAATTTAAACTTACATTGCCTTTTCTTTTTTTTTTGGAGACAGGGTCTTACTCTGTCACTCAGGCTGGAGGGCAGTGGTGAGATCACAGCTCACTGCAGTTTTAATCTCCTGGGCTCAAGTCATCTTCTTGTCCGTCTCCCTAATAGCTGGCACTACAGGCTTATGCCACCATGCCCCAAGAATTTCTTAAATTAAAAAAAATTTTTGTACAGATAGGTATCTCAGTATGTTGTCCAGGCCTGGTCTCAAACTCCTGGTCTCAACAGACCCTCCTGCCTCAGCCTCCCAAAATGTTGGGATTATAAGCTTGAGCCATGGTGTGTAACCCCAAATTTAAATTTACTGATATCCTGAACTACTTTTATCAATTTTTAAACTAAAGTGTAATTAACACTCAACCAAATGCAGAGATCTTTAGTTTAGATTAACAAGTTCTGACAACTGTATACATCCCTGTAACCACCTCAAGATATAGAACATTTTTCACTCTAGAACGCGTACGCATGCTCCTTTCCAATCAACTGCCATACCCCATGGCAGGCAATTTTTGACTTAATTTTCCTTGTTCTTTGACTTTATATAAATAAAGGACTGTATGTATGTACTCTTTACTTTTGATCATTTTACTGCTCAGTAGTATATCTTTTTTTCTCAGCTTTATAAGATACTAAGAAGACTAGTTCTCATAATGAGATTAAAATTTTTCTCCCAAAATCCTTTCATCTGTAGATCTCTTAAATGGCATATTTTGGTACAAAAGTTTTAAATTTCATATAGTCAAATCTATCAATATTTTCCTACATGTGGCTGCTGGCTTTTGTGATTTACTTACAAAGGCCTTCCCTACTCTGAGATTAGCCTTGCTTTCATATTTTTATGGTTTAACTTGTTTAAAATCTTCAAATTCTTCCAAAGAATAATTATCAAATAATCTATCTTTTCTCAACTAATTGGACAAGCTACCTTTACCACACTCTACTGCTGCCAGTTATAAGTAGCATTTATCCAGTGTTTACCATGGAACAGGCAGTGTGCACCACCTCACTTGGTAGCTCCAGAAACTTATGATGCAAATTTTATTTTCACTCCCAGTTTACAGCTGGAGAAGAAGCAGCTTGGCAAGTTAACCTGTTTAAGGTCCCAGAGCTAATGACAAGGAGAGAAGCAGTTCAAACCCAGTACAGTTTGACTCAAGTTTAGGCTACAGAGTCAAACAAGCAGGCTACAGAGACGCCTTCATGTCTCACAGATATTGTGGACTTTAATCTTTCCTTTTCTTTTCGAGACAGGGTCTTGCTTTGTTGCCAAGCCTGGAGTGCAGTGGCACCATCGTAGATCACTGCAGCCTTGACCCCCTGAGCTCAGTCAATTCTGCCCAGCTAATTTTTTGTAGAGACGTGGTTTCACCATGTTATCCAGGCCGGTCTTGAACTCCAGAGCTCAAATGATCTGCCTGCCGTGGCCTCCCAAAGTGCTGGGATTACAGGCGTGAGCCACCACAGCCAGCTGACTTTATTCTTTTCTACTGGTCTGCAACTGTATCATCCCATTTTAATTACAGAAGCTTTACAATATATTTTAAATAAACATTTGAGTCATCCTACTGTTTTCCTTTTCTTCAGATTTTCCTGTATATGTATTTTTATTTTTTCCTGATCACTAAAAAAAAAAAAAAAATCAACAAACCTGTTAGCATTCTAGTTGAAAATGTATTAAATTTACAAATTAATCTAGAGGAACATCTGATATATTTAAAATGTCAAATCTTCTCAGTCAAGAACAAGGTATAGTCGTCCCTTGACATCTGAAGAATGGTTCTAGGAACTCCACAGATACTCAAATCCCAGGATGCACAAATACCTGATATAAAAATGGTATAGTGTTTGGATATAACCTATGCACATCCTCCTGTATAAAACATCTCTGTATTACTTAAAACAATGTAAGCACTATATAATTATATTAACTTTTATTTTCTATTGTTTTCCTCCTGAATTTATTTTTATATTTTATTTTTTTTTGAGACAGAGTCTCACACTGCCACCCAGGCTGGAGTGCAATAGCATGATCTCAGCTCATTGCAACCTCCGCCTCCTGAGTTCAAGCAATTCTCCTGCCTCAGCCTCCCAAGTAGCTAGGATTACAGGCATGTGCACCATGCCCAGCTAATTTTGTATTTTTAGTAGATTTGTAACTGTTAAACTTTTTCCTGTGGTTGTAAATAGGCTCTTTTCTTCCATTATATTTTCTGATTGTTCATATATGGGACAGGGTTTTAACATTTTAGTCTATAGCAGGTCCTCAAAAAATGTTTCATCCAACTTTATTTTGTTCTAAAGTTGATGACGAAAAAAAAAGGAGTTCCAGCTGAGGCCACTGTCAGTGTGAAGTTGGCTCATTCCCCCCACATCTTCATGGGGGTCTTCTCCAATGCTTGAGTTTCCTCCCATATCCCAAAGATGCACATGAATGGGTGTGTGTGTCTACACAGCCTAGTATCAGTGAGTATGGGTGTGCATGAGAGCACTCAGATGGGATGGCATCCTGTTCAGGGCTAGTTCCCACCTTGGGCCCTGAATTGCCAGGAAAGGCCCTAGCCATTGAGACCCTGAACTGGAACAGGGAGGCAGATAATTATCTTACTTTTTATTCACCTTTCTTAAATGTATACACAGCTCACATTCATTTCAATTTTTTTTTGAGACAGGGTTTTGCTCTGTCACCCAGGCTGGAGTGCAGTAGTATGACCACAGCTCACCATAACCTTGACCTCCCAGGTTCAAGTGATCCTCCTACTTCAGCCTTTTAAGTAGCATGGTCCACAAGCGTCTGCCACCACAATCAACTAAGTTTTAAAATTTTTAGTAGACATCATTTAAATGTTTAATACTAGAAGTATTTAGAGATATTTTTCTGACCAGAAATATGCTGTGGGAATTTAACTCTTGTTTATATTAATAAACCTAGCATAAAACTCATTTTGCTATGCATCGCTTTGCTTAAAGTTGCACTTTCCAAGAACCCATTGATGATAAGTAAGCAATATTACTGAATTATTTTATTCTTCAAAGTTTCTCACTTGATTTCTGGGATTTCCAGGCCTCCCCACCCCAGCAAAAAAAAAAAAAAAATGCCATTTGCAAAAAATAATTTTCCTTCTCTAATATTTACACCTCTTTTCTCCTTTGTACTTGTTAGGACTTAAAACATGAAATGTTAAGTAGTGATAGTAGGCCTAGTAATCTTGTTTCCAACTCTCCTGGGAATGCTTCTAATGTTTACGTATGATTCTCATTTTTAGTTTGAGATTTTTAAAAATTACATTTAGGAAGTTTTTTATTTATGGCTATGCTATTACTTATTCTTATTTCGTTAGTTAATAAAGAAAGCAAGAAGACACTAAATTTACAAGATTTTTCAGTATCTTTTGTTAAAAAATGTTTTAGACTTTTCAGTATCTAATGAATTGATCTCATGGTTTTTCTCCTTTGACCTACCAATACAGTATTGATTAATATAGAGCCACCTTTGTATTCTTAGCATCTTCTTTCTTTTTTTTAGAGACAGGGTTTCTTCATGTTGGTCAGGCTGATCTCGAATTCCTGACCTCAGGTGATCCGCCCACCTTAGCCTCCCAAAGTGCTGGAATTACAGGCATGAGCCACCACACCTGGCCTCTTAGCATCTTATTTCTAATTTTGACTTGGTTATCATGAGGAATGATAAAGGACAAGAACATGAAGGCCAAGAACCCAAGCCTATCCCAACTGCTATCTCCTTTTTATTCAGAATATTAAAAAAAACACATACAACCCATTTCCATGTTAAGGTTTAACATCACACAATAAAATTCTTAGGACTAACAGTGTAGAAAATAATGTCAAGTTGTAAGACTAACATGCTTTTTTAACAGGATTAGCTTTTCTGAAATAGAAAATGATTCTGTATCCAAGTTCACATTAATTCTGGAGTGGAGAATCAAAGCAAACCATTCAATTTCAAATGGTCTTGCTCTTCAGTTTTCAGAATTACTCTTTTCCCTCCCAACTGAGGAAAAACATACACATTATACAGTTACCTAGTCACAGAATTACAGAAAATATATTCTACAAGTTAATAATAGTCAACTGATTCACAATACTACCTCAAAATTTTAAAGTTCAAAAATCAAAGTTTGGAAGATAGGGGAGGTGCCAGAATCTTGTGATTAAATAATAAAGCCCTGAGCATAGTAATTTGTAACAAGTTTTGTTCTACGGCACTGTCTTAGGAAAGTGACCAGCTTTCCATACCTAGAATAAACAGTGTTCATGTTAGAGTAATCCCCCCATATCCATGGTTTCAGTTACCCAAGGTCTGAAAGCATTAAATGGAAAATCCCAGAAATAAACAATTCCTAAGTCTTTTTTTTTTTTTTGAGACGATTCTCACTCTATCGCCCAGGCTAAAGTGCAGTGGCCTGATCTCGACTCACTGTAACCTCTGCCTTTGGGTTTAAGCAATTCTCCTACCTGAGCCTCCTGAGGAGATGGGATTACAGGCACGTGCTACCACACCTGGCTAATTTTTGTATTTCTGGTAGAGACGGGGTTTCACCATGTTGAACAGGCTGGTCTCGAACTCCTGGCATCAAGTGATCTGCCCAACCTTGGTCTCCCAAAGTGATGGGATTACAGGCATGAGCCATTGCACCTGTCCAATTCCTAAGTTTTAAATGGGGCAACAGTACATTCTAAGTAGCAAAATAAAACTTTGCACCGTCCTGCCTAGGACGTGAATCATCTCTTTGTCCAGTGTATCCATGCTGTATCCACTATACACTATCAGTCTGTCTTGGCCATTAGATCTAAAAAGCACGGTATACTTAGGCTTCGGCAGTGTATATAGACTTCTGTTTCAGGCATTCATTGGGGAGTCTTGCGATGTGTCCCCCAGGATAAGGCAGGGACAACTATAATTAGAACCATTCCAAATTGCTCTTTGGAGAATACTTTCACATTAGAAAAGGTGGAAAACAGAGTTGGATATGAATGCTTCAATATGAGGAGAGCTGCAGAACATAAAAAGTTTAGGTTTTCTAAAACGTTATTCTAAGCTGTGCAGTAGTAGGCACCTGTAATCCCAGCTTCTCAGGAGGCTGAGGTGGGAAGATCGCTTGAGCCCAGGAGTTAGAGACCAGCCTGGGCAATATAGTGAGATTCTGTTTTGAAAAGAAAAATAAATAAAATAAACAAATAAAAAGTTATTAAATGAGGCCAGTGTAACCTTGAACTCATAAAAAAAAATTTATACCCAAGAAAGGTTTTCATTTTTCTTTTTGGAATAACCTGAAGCTATTACTTCTAAAACTTTGTTACTATCTTATAGCATGATCCACCCATCATCTGAAAAACAATTTTTATTCTCTGAATAGTAATTTTAAAACAGTACAAAATTTCTTTTGACCTATACTAGAAGACTAAAACAACATTTTGGAAACTCTCATGGCTGTTAGGGTAAAAAGCTGAACTCCATGAATTACTAGTGGAGTTCATGGATATTTGAGAGAGGCTTCAAACTGTAATGGAGTGATAAACAGTGTGGAACTACACAGTGATGACACCCGGACATTAATCCTTTTGATGGTATCTTTCGACAAAAATAAACTTCTCAATAAGAGACCACTTTCCCATTTGTGGAAGTTATAATTCCCACCCACTGCATAAAAATTTAATAGCAACACACTTAATCTATAAAGTGCCATATAAATTCAGATATTTATTAGGCGAAACTAAGTGAAGTCAGAATTTTTGGGTTGATTTGTCTAGTGTGGGGGGATGGTATGTATCATATTGAAAATATAAAATATTGGCCAGACGCAGTGGCTCACAACTGTAATCCCAGCACTTTGGGGGGCTGAGGCAGGTGGATCACCTGAGGTCAGGACTTCAAAGACCAGCCTGGCCAACATGGTGAAACCCCGTCTCAACTAAAAATACAAAAAAATTAGCTGGGCATGGTGGTGGGCGCCTGTAATCCCAGCTACTTTGGGAGGCTGAGGCAGGAGATTTGCTTGAACCTGGGAGGCGAAGGCTGCAGTGAGCCAAGATCACGCCACTGCACTCCAGCCTAGGTGATGAGAGAGAAATTCTGTCTCAAATATAAATACATATAAATTAGGTAGAATACATGCTAGTTTTTAGTATTGGTTCATTTATCTGATTATATTTTTTACATTCGGGCAACTCAAAAACTAGGATTTTGAAATGCTAAAAAATCTGAAACTTTTTGAGTGCCAACATGCCGCTCAAAGGAAATGCTCATTAGAGCATTCTGGATTTTGGATGCTCAACTTGTGTAATGTATAAAAAAAAAAGAAAACCCAAATCTGAAACACTTCTGATTCCAAGCATGTGGGATAGGGATATGCAACCTGCAACATTTCTTGGCATTTAGTTATATACTTATTGGAATATATGTGCCAAACAATGTGTTGGGCTTTAGAGAAAGCAGTAGTATTGCATGGAGATTCCTGAGATGTGATGTCTTTAGCAGTCTATAAGGACCATAAAAGCTGGGAGAAGGCTAACGCCCTTTTCTGCCTTAGCCCACCTGTACCCAGGTGGGGGGGGGGGGAAAAAGCTGGGACAATTACGCCCAGTGATGAAATGGGACCTAGGAAAAGAAGAGCAGTTAGCGTAAAAACTGGGAGAATCTGTGGGCAAGTATAAGCATTCAGATTGGTTAGAAAATAGCAAGAAAGGGAAGGGGTAAGAAAGTCTTAGCAGAGAGACCTTAGATGAAGAAGGTCTGACTTATTTCACTAAGAGTCGGCTCATCTGAATGAACCTGCTTCTTCAACTATAAAGAACAGGCCATACTATTTGTGAAAAGCACACAGTCAAAAAAAAAAACAACAAAAAACGGCCAGTAATGTTATGAGGAACTAAATGAGACTCTGCCCAGCCAAGTGCCTAAAATAGTGCTTGGGTGAAAAACAAGTACCAAATTCTCGTCTTTCTTTGTATATGGACATCTAGCTTACAGGTAAGAGTGAACGCTAACGTATGACTCGCTAAAACTGCAGCTCTTCGCTGGTTGGTTCCGCCAACGCTGACAAGTCCAACTCTCCAAACTTGAGGAAAAGGAAGACTGCATCATAGATTTGCTGTGAGACTAGATAATAAACAAATCTCTTAGTCACTCCCTGGAATATAGCAACAACTCAACAGATACTACCTTTTGCGATTGCTACTTTTAGGTCCATAAATCTTTATCTGCCTCTCTCAATCCAGAGACCTCTGAAAACGAAAGAAACTTTCCCAAGTTTGGCAGAAAACTTACATGGTGGCAAAACTTGACCTGAAGCTATTTATAGTTTCTATTAGGCCTCACTTAGAATGAATGTTCACATCTATTTCGGCAAATATTAATGTTGGATTATGCGGTGCCCCACTCTGCTGGGGGTGTTACCTCTTGTCTAATATGTTGTCTTTCTAAAAAGATAAAGATAAAACCTAAGGATTTTTGAAATCAAAACCCACTAGCGGCCGGGCGCAGTGGCTCACACCTATAATCCCAGCACTTTGGGAGACCAAGGCGGGTGGATCACGAGGTCAAGAGATCGAGACCATCCTGATCAACATGGTGAAACCCCGTCTCTACTAAAAATACAAAAATTAGGTGGGCATGGTGGCGCGTGCCTGTAATCCCAGCTACTCGGGAGGGTGAGGCAGGAGAACTGCTTGAACCCAGAAGGCGGAGGTTGCGGTGAGCCGAGATCGTGCCATTGCACTCCAGTCTGGGTAACAACAGTGAAACTCCGTCTCAAAAAACAAACAAACAAACAAAAAACAACAACACTAGCTTCATTTCAGCTAAGAGACTGGGGATGGATATTATCCATTCCTCCTGGAAAGAAGAATAGAACATTCCAATATTTGCAATTCCTTCCAAAAGTTTCTGAAGCAAACTCGCTTTGCATTGCGGGCTCAGAGATGCCAGCATGAAAAATTTCTATTCTTCCCCCAAAGAACAGCATTGAACAAAGAACTTAGGAAATGTTTCCGAAGGCTACCTTTGCCTGTATTAAGGGTTCGTTTTCAAAACAGACCTTTACAACTCCCAAGTGTGTTATTTCTCTAGTAGTAAAGATAAAAAAAAATTTTTTTCAGTCGAGTGACTCTGGCCTGATGCTTTAACACTGGAATCTTTACCTATTAAAAGCTGTACTCTTGGTTTTCGAGGTAAAGAGGAAAACGCTCCAGCTATGTATAAGCTGTCGTAGGTATGTGCGCCTCAGTCCTAAAAAAGGAGATCACTGAACATCTGCCTTTCTCGTGGTTTGCCCTGGGTATTCACCTAACGTAGCCGTGAGCAATTCCTCTAGCAAGTCATAACCAGAACGTTGTCACACTGCGGATTATTAACAAGCGTACCAGATTCTTAGAATCTTTTAAGGCCTTTCCCTTTTTATTAGAAATTAATGAATGGGTATAATGGAGTGTGGGTAGAGGGGAAATCGGGGCCAAGGGGCACGAGGCCGGCAGCCCTTTAGGGACGCACAAACAAAGGGAGTCCGGGATCAACCGGAGCGAACCGGCCTCGGAGCGGGTCGCGCCAGCCGAGGAGTGGGGGAGGGGCCGGCCCGCGCCCGCCCCGCCCCGCAGCCAGACCTGACGTCAGGCGCCCAGAAACCCGTCGGCCGCGACGTCAGCGGCCTCCGAAGCCTTCTCTCCGGGGGGCGATCCGGACGCAGCCCGCAGCGTGGAGGAAAACGACCGAGCGAACCCCTTAGCTCCGGTCCCAGGGAGGTGACCACGGCCCGAGCACTGGACGTGACTCGATGCACCTCCGTTACCGCGTCCGCTCCCCGCTTGGCCGCGCCCGCGGGATCCGCAACCCCAGCTCCCCGATTCCCCTCCACGACTCCCACCAGTACCGAAGCAGCCTCACCCGGCAAGATCCGAGACCGCAGTAGGGTCTAGAAGCGGCGATGGGTCCGAGGGACTGGGCCCTGAAGAAGCGGGCGCAGCCTGACTGACGGCGGCGAGAGCAGCGGCGGCAACAGCAGCAGCAGCGCGCGACTCCTCCTGGCGCCGGAACAGGAAGCTCCAAGCGCACCGCCTCCGCCCGCGCACCCCCTCCCCTCGGGCTGCGCCGCGCCGCGTGCGCCCCCCCTCAGGCCCCTGGCGGTACTGCGGCCCGCCGGACCCGGGGGGCTGGGATCTACCTGGCCCCCCGGCCCCGGGCCTCTTTCCCCCGGTGGGCGGGCTGAAAGCTCCCAGAGTTTCCGGAGTTCCGAGGACTCCGAGGAAGCGCCGGTGGCCAGCAATATTCAGGGCAGCCCGGCGGAAATTGCTAACTTATCTTGAGTGGCTTGAGGGCTGATTCTGGATTCCTTTTGCTCAGCGGTTTTTACAGCCAGACCTCGAAGAAGGCTGGGTATGGACGCGTGCAGATTTCGGCCTGACCCGAGGACTCAGATCCTGGGCCAAAAGTGGGGAGAGGGAAAAGATTAATTCAGGAAAGGGAAGACGTTTGTAAATAGCTTGATAAATTGATATTTGCTGTCTTTGCACATTTTTCCTCATCAATGCCCCTTTTCTCCCATGTTTTGTTGTTGTTTTTGAGACTGGCCTCTGTCACCCGGGCTGGAGTGCAGTGGCGCGATCTCCGCTCGCTGCAACCTCCGCCTGCTAGTCTCAAGCGATCCTCCCATCTTAGCCTCCGGGTGGCTGGGACTACAGGCGTGTGCACCACACCCGGTTGATTTTTGTATTTTTGGTAGAGATGGGGTATCACCCTGCTAGCCTCAAGCGATACCCCGCCCCCTCCCTCCCCACCTTTCGATCTCTCAAAGTGCTGGTATTACAAGTGTGAGCCACCGCGCCTGGCCCTCATGTTCATTTTTGAATAAACATCATCTCCTGTGTCAGGCACAGATGACATGACCCCAGTCAAGGAACCTACTAACTTGGTTATGAAGATGTGATAATTATATGGTGTGCAAAACATACACATATATGCAATGTATTTTTTTCTTTTTTTGAGACGGAGTGTCACATCTGTTGCCAGACTGGAGTGCAGTGGCGCGATCTCGGCTCACTGCAACTTCCACCTCCCGGGTTTAAGTGATTCTCGTGCCTCAGCCTCCGGAGTAGCTGGGACTACAGGCACACTTGACACGCCCGGCTAATTTTTGTATTTTTAGCAGAGACAGAGTTTCATCATGTTGGCCAGGATGGTCTCCATCTCTTAACCGCGTGATTGGCCTCCCAAAGAGCTGGGATTACAGGCGTGAGCCGCATGCACGGGCAATATACTTTTTTTTTTTTTTTTGAGACGGAGTTTCGCTCTTGTTACCCAGGCTGGAGTGCAATGGCACGATCTCGGCTCACCGCAACCTTTGCCTCCCGGGTTCAGGCAATTCTCCTGCCTCAGCCTCCTGAGTAGCTGGGATTACAGGCACGCGCCACCACGCCGAGATAATTTTTTGTATTTTTAGTAGAGATGGGGTTTCACCATGTTGACCAGGATGGTCTCAATCTCTTGACCTCGTGATCCACCCGCCTCGGCCTCCCAAAGTGCTGGGATTACAGGCTTAAGCCACCGCGCCCAGCCCAATATACATTTTTGTAACATGTAAAAATATCCTAAAAGTATGCCCAACAGTTGCATCTTGCTTTGTATAAGGCATTAGTGGGTCAGTGGGTGGACATCTAACTATGAACTTGATTAAAGGAAGACATCTCTGGATGTGTTCCATAGCACACACAATTCTCACACTGAAAACAGGGCAACAGAGGAACTGTAAATACCTAAGCCAAGAGTCTTATTTTTGGATAAGGGCACACAGGCCTATGGAAAATTACACGACTAGTGTGGACCTACCCTGTCTTCATTGGATAGTGAATCAACAGTGCCTTGTGGAGCTATGCTGAAGCCTGAAGTAACAGGAAGTCAGTAATCTGGTCAGGTTTGATTTTAAATTTGGTATCTTACTCATCATTTTTTTTTGTTGTTGCATCAATTCTGATTTTAGAATATTGCACCAAAACATTGTCTTCCTTAGTCTTTTAGTCAAATATTTGTTCCCAAATGTCTCACCACACCCTAGTCCTGGTGCTGTGTACCAGTAATGGATAGCCTCCAACTTATCCTTGCCTGGAATCAGCTAGTAGCTGAGCACGTTTTGGCGGGGAGGGTCCAGATCTAGGTCATTCCTGTACCTTGTGGACTTGTCTACAAGCAACCTTTGCTTGGGAACCAAGTCCTCATCTAGCAATCTGAAGGTAGGTGCACTTTAGTCCCAGGCCCACCCTACCCAATCCTTCCTTCCAGGTGTCAGACTTTCAGTGTGGTATGAAGAATTCCCACCTTCTGCTCCTTTCTCCTTTATCTTTATAGGTGTTTCACTCCAAATAAATCTCTTGCACCTCTAATCACATCTTGGCATCGGCTTCTGGAAGACCCAAACACTAAAAATTAAAGGAGTGTATTATAAATTAGAAAATATGTAAGAATATGGATTTCTCTATCTTTTTCAGACTCTAATTTGAATGTGTGAAGTAAAGACATATAATAATATTTTAAATAAGACACAAAGCCTTTGGATTTTACATAGGAAGTTTTACTTAAGAAGAAATGAAAATTTATCCAGATCAATTTATTTGAACTTACATCCAAGAAGAAATATTCAATTTAAGGATTAGAAATAAAAGTGGCAATTGTCTACTTCTTTCATGGTAAGGAGTAGATCATACAAGCCTGATGACAAGAGTAATAGCTTTGTGAAAATTGTATATTCGAGTACATATGAACTCATACTTGGCTTACACAGAATGTATCCGATTCTAGCAAAGTCAGCATAATTTAAGTAAACCTCCTTGAGTTTTACACCATGGCTCTCAAGTCTGAAAGCTTTGATTTGATTATAACCATGGCAAAAGTGATTATCTTTATTTTCTGAAAATATAATCAACTTTTAAAATAAGTTAGGCAAACAGTTTTACAGAGACCATATGAAGGCTAGGAGGAAACTGCAATTGTTCCTCTAATTGCAGAGCCTAAACCATAAATTCAAATTGTACTGCTATCTCTACTATTAAAACAAGCCAAGAAAGCCTATTACAGTCTAAGAGAAGTGAATGTGATTCTGCAGGGTCCACTAAGGAAATATTTTGTAAATCTATGATAACATTAGCACTCAATGGCTGTACAGCAATTATTTTAAAGTATGCTCCCAGGGTCACCTCTTGCTGAAGAATTAACCTCCAGGAAGTAGAGTGACAAGTATCATCTACATTTTATAGGAAATAAAGGCAAAGAAGATTTAGGACTGAGTAATCTATTCAAAATTAGAAAGAAAAATATAGACTTTGGCTTTATTTGAAAATTCCTTTGTATTGGGTTATATCCATTAATCTACATTTCAACTTCCAAGCCAATCTATTTAAAAAAGTTACCTCCATTTTGTGTCTAATATTTTACTGTATAAGAATAGTACAGGTGGACTCTTGCACTGCTCATATTTAGTAGGCCATTACTAAAGAAAAACTTTTGTGCTTTCTGTTCTTTCCTCAAAATAAAAATGTAAAACTTTTTTCCTCCAAAGTAGAAACAGTAGTTTGCTTGACTTAAAATCTTTTATTCACTTGTGCATTACATTACCTAACATTACACAGGCTATTCTAGATTTAAACATTGTTTTTCTTGTGTTGTCTCCAGGGATGTTTTATAATTTTGTTTACTTTCCTTGAAATTTACTTTACCAAAACGAATGCTTAAGCTGTTTTTTGGATTTCGATTATAGCTAAAAGTGACAAGAAATATTTTTCATGAAAAATAAGTGAGTTAGATCTTGGCCAGGCATGGTGGCTTATGCCTGTAACCCCAGCACTCTGGAAGGCTGAGGTGGGTGGATCACCTGAGGTCAGGAGTTCGAGACCAGCCTAGCCAACATGGTAAAGCCCCATCTCTACTAAAAATACAAAAATTAGCTGGGCATGGTGGCGGGTGCCTGTAATCTTAGCTACTTGGGAGGCTGAGGCAGAAGAATTGCTGGAACCTGAGAGGCGGAGGTTGCAGTGAGCTGAGATCATGCCATTGCACTCCAGCCTGGGCCGACAACAGCGAGACTCTGTCTCAAACAAACAAAAGAGCTCTCAAGGTTTTTGTTTCATAGGAAGGAAGCTCTCTATTGCATGGATCTATAAAATGATCCAAACTTCAGAGGCAGGAAGCTGATAACTGGATTTATCTGCTTAATGGCTTTGGCTCATGAATAAATGATAATGGTTTATGTGTTTTTCTTATAAAAATAATTGGAATTTGTGTAATGATAGGAGTCCTACTTGCCACATTTGTTCAGCTTATCAAAGGATTTCTAATTACTAAGACATTCTTTATATTATTTATAATTAAGAAGTCAAAACTTTAACTGAAAGCCATTCTTTGACCACAGTTGGCCATTAGCTGAAATTCAAGAAAAAACACAGGTTTGATCACCAAATCAATAAATCTAGCCACAGGCTGACTAAAAGCTTCCTTTAATCTTCTTCCTATTAGGCCTTCCTTTAAATTAAACCATTCCCTCTATGAATTATTTAGGGAAATGACATGGTTATAGATAGATCACATATAACTCTATACAGAAATGCTAAAGGAACCTTAAAAAGTCCATTCAGCATACTTCAGGAATTACACTATGAATCAAGATGCTGTAGGCTTAGGAAAAAAATGGGAGTGGGAGTATGTCTTGTAAAGCTTCAGAGAAAAATAGAAAAGTCAAGTTTATTTCCTGATTCTCCCAGGATGATTCCCAAAGCGCAGTTAAGTGTCTGGTCCAGACTAGCCATTAGCAATTAAGTAGTTTCTTTTCACTGTCAAGGCTTTTCCCTGAGGTAATGCCTAAATTCCTAATTTTAATATTTGATCTTATTTCTCTTAGCTCCATTCTCTATCACCAATAAGCTCTCCACATTTCCACCATGCTAAATGCTTTCTCAACTCTGGAATTAACACTTTCAAATCTTCCCACTGTTCAACATAGTTACAAAATTTTAGACAAATTTATACGTTCCCACATTGTTCCACTCAAAGTTTACTCATTTATATAGTGCAACCAATGTATTGTTTAAATTTCGTATAGATTAGTTTCTGAATACTGAATGTTCTTCCAAGTGTATCCTCACAAAGACACAGAGGAAGGGGGTAACCTTTCTGAATTCCAATTCCTTAATGTTTTTAAAAAAAATTATTACTTTTATTTTCCCTTATTTCCCTTAAAAAAAAAAAATCCCTTCTCAAGTCTTTATATATCTACTTTCCAAATTTCTTTTCACTGTAGCAAATACCAAAGGAAAAATAAAAAT